GTCGAGTTTTCCTCAAACAAAGAAATAAGCAAATTGCAATCCATTTCCTAAAAGAAGTATATTTTTTAAAATTTATTTCCATTTATAAACTTAAAATTACGTGAAAACAACACACACCCCTCAATTTTACTATTTACACCTTCGATTTTGCACGAAGATTTGATTTGTTTATAAGAACACTCAAGACCAGAAACGCATGCAATGTAACCGCAGCCTTATAGTTTTCTCGACAATTTCTTTCTTACTGTGTACGATTATACAGTTATCGGGTAATATTTCGAAAATCCCCTTTTTTGAGGGAAAAGTTGTATCACAGAAAATAATACATAGATTAGGGGTATTCAGGCAACAGATTGAAAAACTTATATATATATATATAAAAAAAGATTAGCATTTTGAATATAACCTATTGCGTGAACGACCCAAAATGCGCAATCTGATTATTTTGTTATGTGCAAATGCTTTGGAAGCACTTGTAGCAGCAGCAAAAGCGAAACATACATATGTTTACAGTGAAATACTCAAATATTCGTAAATTTTAAAATCACTTAAATTTATCATATAATTTATCTTATCATATCAAATAATTTATCATATAACTAAAATTGCAAACGTGTCATATATCAAGAAGTAGAATATTCAATTATATACTTTTTAATAATATTTTTTCTTTTTAAAAATTATAGTTTTACTGAATTTTATTTATTAATTTATGTTATTATTTTTTAATTTTCTTTTTGTGACGCTCTATGCTAATAGCGCCGACACTTGGTACTGGCAGCACTAATAAACAAATTTTTGCTAATCTGAGAATCTCCGTAGATTCTCTGCTTAGTTTTTCTTTGTATGCAAATTTTTGTTGTAATAATTTGATAAACAACTAATCTGTTGCCAGAATACTCCTATTGTGAATGCAGAACCAAAAAATTGATTCTCTTTGATTTCATGGTAGCCAGTTCGAGTAGTCAGCTCGAGTAGCCAGCTAAAAGAACAATGAGCTTTCACCTTATGAGATCGAATAATAAGCTCCAAAATTAAACTGGCATTATATATGATTAAAATAACATTAATATAATTATATCCTCATTGTTTCATTCTACTTCAGTTAGAAAACGCTCACTCAAAATCTAAATTTTGTACCAGAAAACTAGCAGCGTAATTTAGAATTCGTTGGTGTAACATTCTTTTTTATATCTTTGGAAATTGAGATCGGACTTTTTATTTATTTAGGAATAAAATTAGGATTAAACATAGATTTTAAAGAATTTAAATTTTTAAATTTTTAAAGAAAAGTTACAGTTGCCTCTGGACAACTATTTACTTCGAAAAATACGCGGAGTCAAAACTCATTTTATGCTGGAATCACACAAAAATTTCGTTTTTAATTTTAGCTGTCAATTGTTGTTACTTTCAGTACAAAACGAACATTTTTGACAGCTAAAATTACAAATAAAACTTTCGTTCGAATCCAATATCAGACATATGGTTTCTTGGTAACTTTTACTCACAATCAAGGGCGGAGCTAGACCAGCTCTGGACGTCGGTGACATCAGAATTGCGAGGCCCTTTTTATTATCATTTTATTATTTTTTATAATCAAATTTAAATAAACACAAATTAAAATAAATGAAATTTTCTGCTGAAATTTTCAAGATGAGTTACTTTACCAAATTGTTCAAAATATTCATCAAGTGTTTTAATTTGACAGTCGGTAGTAATTATGGTTGCTTCTATCATTGTGGTAAAAAAGTTTACTGCTTACCGTATTTCAACGGATTGTATAGGTCATAATATGGTCATAATTGAACAATTGTTGCTTCTTTGCTCATTCTGGTTCTTTCAACAAAAAAAGAGATTCTCATTAAAAGTGATCTAGATTGTCAGATTTACCCCATGTCAATCAAATGACAGTTACCAAGTCCTGTTACCAACTTCATTAGCCCACAATTCAGGATTAAATAATTCCTTTCAATAACACAACAAAATATGATTCGTAACTACTTCTTCTACAAGTAATTGGGCTCATTACACGCTTCTTTCGTTCTATATGAGTGTATGTTATGCTCTTGCATTTTTAAATTCGTTTGTCAAAAACAAATCATAATTTTCACATTTAACACAGTTGCGACTAACACTAAATATCAGAGAATATCATAATAATAAAATCTTCTTTGATGTATACCTTTTAACGAGACCCCTGTGGGAGCGAGGCCGTCGGCGGTCGCCCATTTCGTCCACTTTTACCTCCACCTTGCCCACCTGATCATGTTTTATTGCAGTAGAAGCATCTAAAATCAATATTAATAGTTAAATCGAAAGTAAGCACATGAGTTTACTATTACTTTTGAAAATAAATATATATGTATGTGATGAAATCGAAATCGGTACTTAACCCTTATGACTATTTTCAATTGTTAACAATATTTGATTGTTTAAGATACAAATTTACCGAAAGGATTATGTTTTAATCGTAAAACATAGAGCAAAAAATATTTATTATGCATAAATAATAAATTTTTATTGCAAATTGCAAAACGTGCTCAAGAAGTATGTTGATCAACATTGGTGAGGAAGACAGAGAAGTTCCCTTTCTTTGTTAAATGTTCACATACAGAAAAAATATTTACAGAGGTGTGAAAATATGTTCCAAAATGAAAACAGTATAAATAGTAAGATTGACAGACTTGATTCGAAAGTGGTGTCGCAAAACGAGGCAAGTGTAGAGAAAAGGGTTGGTGTATTGACAATATGCGTTAAAAGTAATTGAAAGCCCTTAATAACCCCTTAAGTGTATGAACACAAGTTTCAAACTATAATCCAAATATTGCATTTTAAAGCTGCATGTGTTTGAAGAATAGTTAACAAATTTTCATTGTGAATATAAGCAAACCACACGTGCAAAAGGCGGTTAAAAATATCCCCAAAAGAAATGGGTGTTCGTGCAAACATGTTTTTGTTCTAGAATAAAAATAAATATAATTATATCTGAAGAAGTAATGTTTATCTTAATTTTTCTATTGTATTTTTTTATAGAGAGCTGTACACATTATGGTTTATGATATGACACATTTGGTACCTTCGCAAAGCATATCTCTTGGTCGTTACTATTTACAAGATATCAATAATGTGGAGAACCATGATTATGCGCTTGATATCGATAAGCGATTTCAAGCGCGTTTGGCTTGCGAGACCTTACCACAAGCCACACAGCCGCCACCTACTCCAGCACCCAGACGTCGTACTACTCCAATTACACATCTGGATCCTGCCGAATTAGTTGGTTTATCGCGAGAAGAAAGACGACGTCGTAGACGTGCCACACTTAAGTATAGAACAGCTCATGCTACTCGTGAACGAATTCGTGTGGAAGCATTTAACGTTTCGTTTGCTGAACTCAGAAAATTATTACCAACATTGCCACCAGATAAAAAACTTTCTAAAATTGAGATACTTAAATTAGCTATTTGTTACATTGCTTACTTGAACCACGTTTTGGAAACTCCGTAGAGGTTCTATTTAAGTACTTTTAAGTACTATTTAAGTAATTGGTACTACACTTATATGTATAATTAGGTTAAATTGTGATAATATTATTTAAACGTTTGTGTGTTTTCTTTTTATGTTATTTTATTGCATATTTAATATTAAGAAATAAAAGTACTAAAAACGTAATACTCATGTAGTACAATCAATCGATTTAAAAATTTTTTCTTTTTTTTTAAATAAATAATTGAACCCTTATGTTCTGTGGAGACGTTTTTGTATAAAAGCTACATTAATAACACAAAACCATCTGCGTCTTCACAAAATACACACACCAGCGTGTTTGCTTGGGCATGCAGCATCCACCACCCTTGGGCATGCAGTGTTCACCCATATAACGGTATATATGAGCTATATTAACTAAAATAAATACATTTATTTTAGAAGCAGTTTATGTATTTTTGTAGTAAACTTTTTACATTGGCTTACGTATTGCTATTAAAGAAAAAAAATCTATTGGTTGTTGTATTTTTATTTAATAATAAAAATAAATCTATGTTTATAACAGTTGGTATACAATTTTATGTTATTTGTGCTACTTCTCTTAGAAGTATAGAACTTAATGATTGTTTTAATTAAAGTTGTCTTTTTATCTTAATACTAAAAAATGTTATGATTCAATAAATATAATCAACTTTAAATGAGTAACAGAGTAATTTGCTATTCACCTTACAAAAACTTAAGGAACTGAGTATAAATTATGCATTAAAACCAGTGACGACGCGTGCTCTATCTGGAAGGGTGTGCGGCCCTTCTTTAATGTTGTTTTTACATGTACAACTTAAATTAAAATATATGAGATGTTTTATTAATAATAACTATATTATATTAGGCAACAATATTAACAATTCATTAACAAAATAACATATTAAATAAATTAAATTAATAATTTATATATAAATTTAATATTATATTAATATGGAAGAAACAAAACTTTTCACATAATTCTTCCCGTAACATCAAACCAACTTTTTTCAAACAAAAGAGTTTTAACTCAGAACCATACATGTTTATCCAGTGATCAAACAAAATCGAACCCACTCGCAACGTTTAAATGTGCGGACAAGTACCCCGCACAGTAAGCGACAAAAATTCGTGGGTGCTACTGTTAAAAGGGGAGAGACGAATTGTGATAGAAATGTATGGTGAGATGAGCTGCAAACTTCAGCCGCTCTTGCAACCACTTTGGCAAATCATCATGTTGGATTCGTATGCATGCAGTTGATATTCGAATAGAACAGAAAATTACTCTCATACAATTCCCACTATATAAATCTCTATTTCTGATATTACGAACGGGAGCACACCCACATTATTTTGTTCATATGCAACGTATGAATGTGCGGACAATTTCTTCGCTCACAAAAGGGAAAGACGAAATATAATAGAAATGTTCTGTGATTTGAGCTGTAAATATATGCGCACAACTAACAAATATAACAGCTAACAGAAGCAAATTGATTGAGTTTTCAGAGACAATTATATTTAATTGTTTTTGCCAAAACTTTAAAAATATATACATATATGGAAATGTAATAAATAATAATAATTGTTGATGTGAAGATACTTAATAAGTTTATATACCTATGTTATTTGACATTTTGCAAATTATGTTAGGGTGTTCACCGCACACCTCCGCACCTTAGAGCAATCGTCACTGATTAAAACATTTACGCGTACAGTGTGAAGTAAGAATAGGCGTTTGTGTGGCAAAAAACGCATGCTAACCTATATTCGCTAAGCGAGACAATGGCATCACTGTTGTAATCTGTTAACAATTACTGGCCTAGATAGAGAAGATAGTGTTGTTGTTTTGCGTACATTTCGGCCAGTATAAGCCAGTAACTTGCGAGCCATCGAAAACGCCTGATGTAACTGATGTTAGTTTTACGGATAAAGATGCGGACGAAGGCGTAAAGAATTTTTAGCACAAGGAGACCTATGAGCATGCGAATAATAACTTTTTAATTTTATACAGTAAAAAATCTTATAATGGTTTTTACAAAAATTATTTTAATGAATTTTATCGATAATTTTTTAATAATTATCTCCAACATAAGAAAGTTTCAATTAACTTGCTTAAGTGTCTTGCTGACATATTGGCATCATGCAACAGTGATGTCAATATATCTGTCAAATGTTATGTTTTCACAATTAACAAGTGTAAGGACGGAAATTTTTACACCAAATTTCCGCCTACATAAAAATACATCGAAGTTCATTAATATTTATTTTCACTAATATTAAATTCACTAATATTTATTTTTATTGGAAATATTAAAAATCAAATAATCTAACAAAATTGTTATTAAAATTTTTATTTCATTAATTAATTATATTTAATTATCTAAATAAATTTTATTAAATTTAAAACAAAAAAATAAACGCGCACATGAACCAAAATAAATGTAACAAACAAGCATTTACAAACAACAAGAAATGCCAAAGCATGAAAGCTTTTGTTGAACAAAACACAAAGTACACGAGAAAAGCACAAAAAGCAAGTAACACAAATAGTACAAAATATACAGTAGAAAGATCGAAGCTGCGGCATATTCTGTATAAAATAACGCGCATGTGACCGAGGACTTGGATTTTCACTTTAAAAGGGACAAGTACTTTGGCTTATTTAGTACTATGGTTCATTCAGCCAAAGTATTATAAACCTGGCCCATTCGGTCAAATTATTAAATTATTA